GTAGTGTTCATCAGGGATTCGGGGGAGGGGGAGACCCACATCTTAGGGATGTAGCAAGCATTGTATGTAGGGGGAAGGGATTTCCTCTAACCCTTTTTAGAGAGAAGCAAAGATATACAATGTAACCAAAATGTCTAAAAAATACATGTTATCGGGAGGTGGGCAGGAGGGAGGGGGGAGGAGGGGAAAGGTGTATACTTACATAATGGGTGTGGTGCGCACCACCTGGGGGTTGGACATGCTTGAAGCTCTGGCATGGCTGGGTGGGGGAGAGGTGACACGGGCAATATATGTAACCCTAACAATATTTGTACCCCCATAATATGAGGAAATAAAAGGAAAAATTATTTTAAAAAAGAGTCTAGACACAGACTCTCTCCCTTTCTCAAAAATTCACTCAAAATGTGAAACCTAAGTGTAAGATGCAAAACTATAATACACCTAGAAGATAACATATGAGAAAATATAGATGACCTTGGATTTGGTGGCAATAACTTTTTAGATAAGACACTAAAAGCATGATCCATGAAAGAAAAAAATGATAATTTGGATTTCATTAAAATTGAAAACTTGCTGTAGGAAAGATACTGTTAAGAGTATGAAAAGACAAGCTACAAATTGGGAGAAATTATTTGCAAGACATGTGTGATAAAGGACTTATACAAAATACTCATAAAACTCAACAATAAGAAAAGAAATCAATTAAAAAATGGGCAAGACTTCCGAACAGATCCCTCACCAAACATGTCAGATATACACCCGATATACAGATGGCAAATATATATATGAAAAGATGTTTCACATCATTTGTCATTAGGGAATTGCAAACTAAAACAATAATGAAATACCACTACACACCTATTAGAATGGCTGAAATATAAAACACTGGCAATACCAATTGCTGCCCCAACAATAACTCTCATTCATTGCCTGTGCTAATGCAAAATGGAACAGCCATTTTAGAAGACAGTTTGTCAGTTTCTTACAAAGCTGAACGTAGTCTTACCATGTGATCCAATAGTTGCACTCCTTGGTGTTACCCAAGTGAGTTGAAAACGTATGTCCATACAAAACCTGCACACAGATGTTATAGCAGTTTTATTTATGATTGCTAAAACTTGGATGCAATGAAGATGTCCTTTATAGGTGAATGTATCAACAAATTGTGACACATACATAAATAAAATATTATTAAATGATAAAAAGAAATGAGCTATCAAGCCATTAAAAGATACGGGGGAACCGTAAGTGTACATTCCTAAGGGAAAGGAGCCTAAAAAGGCTACATACTGTGTGTTTCCAATTATATGATATTCTGGAAAAGGCAAAACAGTGGAGACAATAAAAAGATCAGTGGGCACCAGGATTTGGGGAAGGGAAGAATAGGTGTAGTGTAGCAGATTTTTAGGGCAGTGAAACTATTCTGTATGATATTGTAATGGTGAATATATGACATAATACAATTTTCAACTCTCGCAGAATTGTGTAGCACAAAGAATAAACCCTAATGTTAACTATGGACTTTAGGTTAAAAATAAAAGATTGTCATTGACTCATCAGTTTAAAAAAATGTATCATACTAATTCTGGAGGTTTTAATAGGAGTAATGGCATGAGAGTGTGGGGAGGGAAGTGGTATATGCCAATACTGTGTACTTTCTGCTTAAGTTTTCTTTAAACCTAAAATGCTAAAAAATAGTCTTTAATGAAAAAAAACTTTAGCAACATGGATACTGAAGGACATTCTAAGATTATTATACAAGTAATGTAAAGATATAAGTTAGAGGTGCTCATTAAAAGACTATTTAGTAGGAGGAAGACCTGTTAAAAATTATAAAACATTGATGAAAGAATTTGAAGACACAAATGAAAAGATATTATAGGTTTATAGATTGGAAGAATTAATATTGTTAAAATATTCATACTACTCAAAGTGATCTACAGATTAAATGCAATTCCCATCAAAATTCCAATGACAGTTTTCATTAAATAGAATAAACTGTCCTAAAATCCATATGGAACCATCAAAACCCTCAAATACCCAAAGCAATCTTGCACAAAAAGAGCAAAGATGGAGGCATAATTCACACTACCTGACTTTAAAATCTACTACAAGGCTATAGTAATGAAAACAGCTCCATTATGGCATAAAAGTAATCACATAGATCAATGGGACAGAATAGAGAGAGAAATAAATCCATGAATTTACTGTCAATGAATTTTTGACAAAGATGTCAAGGACACCCAACGAGGAAAGGATAGTCTCTTTAATAAATGGTGTTGGGAAAGCTGGATATCCTGAGGCATGAGAATGAAATTAGTCCTTCATCCCACACATATACAAAACTCAACTCAAAATGGATTAAAGACGAACATAAGACCTGAAACTGTAAAACTATTAGGAAAAAAAAATGGGGAAAAAACTCCATGACACTGGCTGAGGCAATAATGTTTTTGGATATGACCCCAAAAGCACAAACTGCAGAAGCAAATATAGACAAATGGGATTGATTATATCACACTGAAAAGTTTTTGTACGGCAAAGGAACCAATCAACAGGGTGAAGGGACAACCTATAAAATGGGAGAATATATTTGCAAACCATACATCTGATAAGAGGTTTATATTCAAAATATATAAGAAACACAACTCAATATCAAGAAAACAACTTAATTAAAAATGGGGCAAAGGAACTGAATGGACATTTCTCAAAAGAAGATATGTAAATGGCCAACACGTATATGAAAAAAATGCTTAAAGTAATGCACCTGCATTTTACACCAACTGCTACATTTCAGTAAAAAAGAAAGAGAAAAAAATTCTTTTAAAAAGAAAAATTTATAAAAATTCTTTAAAAATGCTCAACATCACTCATCATCAGAAAAATGCAAATTAAAACCATAATGAGATTTCATCGCATAGCTGTTATGATGGCTGCTATGAGAAGACAAAGATAATAAGTATTGGAGAGGATGTAGGGAAAAGGGAAACCTTGTACACTGTTGGTAGGAAAGTAAATTAGTACAGCCATCACAGAAAAAACAGTATGGAAGTTCTTCAAAAAATTGTTATAGAACTACCATGTAATTCAGCAATACTACTACTGAGTAGATATTGAGAGGAAATGAAATCAGTATGTCAGAGAGATGTCTGCAATCCTATGTTCATTGCAGCATTATCCACAATAGCCAAGATATTGTGTCAAAGTAAGTGTCTATCAACAATTGAATGCATAAAGAAAATGTGGTATGTATGCACAAATGAATTACTATATAGCCTTATAAATGAAGGGAATCTTGTCATATGCAACAACATGAATAAACCTGGGGGATATTATATTTAATGAAATAAGGCAGACATGGAAAGGCAAGTATGCATTACCTCACTTATCTGTGGAATCTTAAAGTGTTGAACTTATAGAAATGGAGTAGAATGATATTTAACAGGAGCTGGGGGAAGGGGTTGGGGAGTTTAGTCAAAGGATAGAAAATTTCATTTAGATGGGAGGAATTAGTTCAAGAGATCTATTGTACAACATAGTATCTATAGTTAAAAATAATGTATTATATTCTTAAAAATCACTAGGAGAGTAGATTTTTAAGTATTCCCACCACGAAAAAAGTGATTAAGTATGTGAGGTAATACATATGTTAATTAGCTCAATTTAGCTATTATACAATGTATACATATTTGAAAACATCAAATTTTACATGGTAAATATATACAATTTTGTCAACCAAAATTTTTAAATAGCATTATTTATATAAGTAAACATAGTCACTAACTGTATTATAGTACATTGATATATTGCAAAATTATGCAGACATTAAAAAAGTGAAAATGTAGAGGATGGGACAGGTCAGAGAGAAATTTTGGAGTTAGAATTTATTGGACTTATTTCATGACTGTTAAGGAAAGAGTGGAATCCAACATGTTGCTTAGATTTCTGCCTTGATCTGAATGGAATAGGTGAAGAGGGGGGAATATGATGAGTCTAGACCTAGACCTACTTATTTCAAACTTTCTGTGGGTCAGAGATAACTATGGCACACTCACATATATGGTTCTTTAATTAGAGTGGGTTTGGAATAGATCCATATTGAAGACAGAGATACTGGAAGTTATAGGAATTGATTAAATCACCTAAACAAAGTGAGATGGCAGCCAAAGAAGTGAAAGGAAAGCCAGAAGAAAGCCATTTTATGAAAGCCATGGAAAGTCAAAGTTTTAAGTAGAGAATATTAAATACAGATTAAGTAACCTCAGACTGAAAAACGAATACTGGCTGTGATAATAAGTAGTCCGTTACCCTAAATCAATCCATGTTGATGGATTTTTAGTATTGAAATAATGATTGCCCTGGTGTAATGTCTACTCATTTGTCCTGAAAATATTTTTGTAAGAGCATGAATCCCACCATACCTCTTAGAGCCTGTACTATGCTAGTGTAAATCATGAATCTCTTATACAGGGTATCTCAAATTTATGTGATCTGGTAACTCTTTGCTTTTTTTCTTTTTTGCATCGTTTAGGATTATTGTTACTTAAAACTAATATTAGGAAACATCACAGTGTATCAATATATACTTCAGGTTACATATAAGCATTGTGAAGAAACTAGAGGATATATAGAGGTTGGTATTATAAGAAGGAAGCTTCTTAGTGTCCCAGAAGAGTTGGAAGCAATTAGACTTCTGAGAACAAGTTTAATTTTGGACAGAGATAAGAAAGTAAAGAAGGGTGCAGAGTTGAGGGTAGTGAAGGCAGTGTCTCTATTTAGTGAAGCAAAATATTAAACAATAGCTTTTCTTATAGATAATATAGAAAAGACTAGAGTGCTTTTGAAAAAAGAAAAATTAAGGGAGACAGTGATATGACTCCATATTCCCAATTATGTTACTTAATGGGTATAAGCATGAGATAGCTTCAAGCTCATATAAATTTCTGCCTTGTGAATACTGGAAATCTAATGATTTTTCCCATTTTTATATTATTTCACAGGATGCTAGACATGCAGCTGAAGAAGAGATTTATACCAACTTAAACCAGAAGATTGACCAGTTTCTACAGCTGGCAGATTATGACTGGATGACAGGAGATTTGGGACACAAAGCCAGTGATTACCTAGTAGACCTCATTGCCTTTCTGCGGAGCACCTTTGCTGTATTCACACACCTTCCTGTAAGTGACAGTTGCTCTTACTTTGCCCTTGATAAGTAATTAAAAAAAATATGCCCTTAAAATCTAGTTTTGTGAAAGATGTTCGTTTCTGTTGTAATTGGCCAAGAAGCTTTTCAGTATATAAAAATTCATGCTATATTTATTGACCCTTAATAATGTTTAAAGGCCTCTTCCATCATTTTTTTTTGACTGTTGCATTTTGTTTATTTTGACAATGGTCCACAGTATCATTTCTGCTTATCTTTTTATTATCTTTAAGGTAATTAGAACAAAGATATTATGAAAGCCTTGGTAGAAATAAAAAAGAAATTTATGAGTTAGAATTTCAGATATATTTCATTTAGTTCTAAAATACCCTTTAATTTTTTTATATAAACTGATATTCTATGATAAAACTCTCCATGTTTTTGTCTATCTTTTCTCTATTTTCTTGAACATATTAGTCATAGTCATTTAAAGTCCTACACTAATTTTTATGTATATTTTACCTAGCTTTGTTTCTGATTTTTTTCGTTGGTTTTCAATCATATGGTTCTGTCTCTTCCTAGTATTTTTTGGTTGATGTTAGACATTATGTCTGAAATATATAGAGATTCCAAGTGATATTATCTGCCACCAGAAAAGGTTCACCCTTTCCTTTACTAAGTAGGCAGTATGGACAAGTGGTCGTGGTTTGAGGCTGATCACCTTACTTCAATCATGTACTGATCTGGGTTATGACTAGATTGCGGTTGTAGTATACTTCTGGTTTGCCCCTGTTGCTAGGATGTGGTTCTGCATGACTTTTGATAAGAGTCTGGCATGTCATTGTCTCTTCAGCACCAAAAAGGACTATAGAAATTTCTACTTTTCAGAGAAACTTTATCTATTCAGCGTCCTTCATTCTTCAGTTTTAGAATTTGGCAAATGTCTTGAGGAGGAATCTTAGCAGTACCCAGATTAGCAATTGCCAATAGGAAAAAAGTGGTTGGTGATTGTCATTGTCAATTCACCACTCCCTCAAGGGCTTTCATCTCCTCCCATGCTCTGAATGTGTACCTCCAAAAATTCATATATTGAGCCTAATAACCAGTGTGATGACATTAGGAGGTAAGGCCTTGGAAGATGATAGATCATGAGGGTGGAGCCCTCACAAATGGGATTAGTATCCTTATAAAAGAGACTTTAGAGAGCTGCTTTGTTCCTTTTACCATGTGAAGATGCAGCAAGAAGTCTCCTTTTATGAACCAGGAAATGGGCTCTCACCAGGTGCCAAATGTGTTGGTGCTTTGATCTTGAAATTCCTGGCTTCCAGAACTGTGAGAAATAGATTTCTATTGTTTATAAGCTACCCAGTCCATGGTATTTTGTTACATCAGCCCAAATGAAATAAGACATCTCCCACCATTTTTATGCATCTTTCTACTAGTGAGTCTTTTTCTCTAAAACACTAGGAAACTGTTGGAAATCTCACTTTGTTTTTCAAGGGTTTGGGCTTAAACCATTATTTTCCTCAGCTGTGTAGTTTTAGAATTCCGAAAATATCTTCAGAGGCAAACTGGTCCTCAAATCTCTGATTTTGGCACTCTAGCCCCTTGGAAACAGCAAAAATTCCATGTTTTTTTCTCCACCCCTAGTAGTTATTATCTGCCTGTTCTTAAGATTCTTAGTCTATTGTCCATGCCTAGGTTTGGCACATGGCCCAGGGACAGCTGCAGACCCTCAGCTCACCTTTTAAATGTTTCATCCCCTCTTTAATTTTATTCCTTTTAGTTCTCATTGCTTTACAGCACTCTGGTATTTTTAAACATATGTTTTCTTTACATTTTTTACTTTCCCTCTTAGTTCTTAATAGGAGCATTTACCTCCAGAAAATTGTGTCATTTCATCTAGCTTTATCTTGATACCAAAATCTGACAAAACTAGCACCCTAAGATAATAATGATAATAATGATCTCACTTATAATTATAGATAAAAAATAAAATAAATAAAATATAAACTTGGCAATTCTGAGTGTTTTAAGAGAGTAATTTCACACTAGTATGTGGGATTTATTCAAGAAATGCAAGGATGGTTTGATAGTCTAAAAAATCTGTTAGCATAATTTATCACATAACTAGGTTAAGGAGATGAAGTATCTTGATGTATTCTAGAAAAGCATTTTATAACCTACAGCCTGCCTTCTTGATTTAAAAATAAAACTTATAAGTAGTATAATATTTCAATAACATGATAAGGGACACCTTGGGAAATTCAGCAGCCTCCATAGATTTAATTAGTGGAACACTAAAAACATTTATTTATAGGAACATCAGGGGTTAGGTTAAGATGCTTCTAACCAATGCTTTAGAAGTTCTATTGAATAAATGTTAAAAATAATAAATTATAAATATTGTAATGAGTCATGTGTGTCAATCTGCTGCTATAACAAAATACGTTAAACTGGGTAACTTATAACCAACAGGAATTTGCTTTTCACAGTTCTGGAGGCTGGGAAGTCCAAGATCAAGACCTAGGCAGATTCATTGTCTGATGAAAGCCTGTTTCTCATAAATGGCACCTTCTGTTTCCTCCCATGGCAGAGAGAGCAAAAAGAACAAACTTACTCCTCTGAGCCCTTTTATAAGGGTACTATTCCCAATTGTGACTTGATTATTTTCCAAAATGTTCCACTTCTTAATATAATTGCATAGGGGGATTAAGTTTCAACATGAATTGTAGAGAAACTCTATCATTCAAACCATAGCACATGCATATTATTAATATTATTCATAGATTATTATTGTCTAGTTGAATAACTCAGGAAAACCAACTGACAAGTCATTAAGACCAATAAGAATTTATATTAGATGGTTCACTTAGAAAACAAATCAACTTCTCTTATATTAGCTATACTCACATAGAAAATATATTGCCAAAGGTGTCCTATTCACTATTGAGGCATAAGATATAATTTCTATATGTATTTACTTAGCAAGTATAATAATATGTAGAACTAATGTGAAGACATCACAAAGTAATAGAAACGAGGCTTCATTATGTACAAATATACAGTGTTCCAGGATGGGAGCATTTCATTTTGTAGATAATTTTTCTGAGTTTAATCTAATTGCAGAGAGTACCAAGTGAATTTGGTAAAGGAGATATCTTAACAAAATAATTCTAAAATTCATTTGTAAATAAAAATGGAAAATATTTGCTAAAAATATGAAAAAGAAAATTAATGTGTGCTCTTTTCCTATCAAATAGGGAAATGCTACTATAAAGCAAAACAATATCTTTCTCAAAATGTAATAGACTCACAGATTAAAGAATTAGAATATAAAACCTATAAATATCATAAATGCAATGTAAAAATTTAGTATATGATAAAGATTAGTCATTGCTATTGCTACTACCATCTGGAAATTTGAAATTTGTATAAAAAGAACATTAAGCTCGTACCTCATATATCAAAATGAATTCTAGATTGAGTAAATGTTTAAGTCTTTAAAAAGTAAGAAGTTATGAGAAAAACCAAGAAAATATTGGCAGATTTTTATATGATTTGAAAGTGAGTCACTTTCCTAAGGATAACACCAAAGATTGAAGTCATTAAGAAAAAGGTTGATAATTTTACTACATAAAATGTTTTTTTTAAATACTTAATAAAATAGATTACAAACTTATCATGAAAAATAACTGCAATAAATATTCCCAAAGGTTAATATCTGTAATGTACAACACATATTAAATTGTTGACAATTTAATAAGAAAAAGACAACTTGATAGAAAAATTTGCAAAAGTGATATTTATGCAGTCAGAAAAGAAGAAAAATGACTGCTGATAACATAAGCAAAATGTGTAACAAAATGTAGTAATGACATATATGTTAAAGTTGTGGGATATTTTTGGCTATAAACTTATCTGAAGTAAATAAAAAATGGTAACATTCAGTATTTATGAGAAATATTTCTAGATGTAGGTATTCTGATACATTGCCGGTAGGAGTCTAAATTGGTACCATGTTTCCCCGAAAATAGGACAGGGTCTTATATTTATTTTTCCTCAAGAAGATACCCTAGGGTTTATTTTCAGTAGTTGTGTTATTTTCCCCTCAAAGCCTCAGCTTGCAGCACGCACAGGATGGCCAGGACTTGACAGGGGAAGCCGACCTTGAGGTGGGGCTGCCCACACCTTTCTGGTCACCTCTGGGATAGTAGCTGTCACGATGGGGCAGATGAGAAGGGCTGTTCATCTTCTTTACCGCTCCGCCACAAAATGCATGGGTTGTGCATATACACTGCGTAGCCACGCCCATCACTAGGTCTTATTTTTGGGGTAGGGCTTATGTTGCACAAATGGTTAGAAATCCTGCTAGGGCTTATTTTATGGGTAGGTCTTATTTTTGGGTATATCCTTTTTGGAGGTCAGTTTTTCTTTCTTTTTTTTTATTTCAGCATATTATGGGGGTACAAATGTTCAAGTTACATATATTGCCTTTACCTTACCCGAGTCAAAGCTTCAAATGTGTTCATTCCCCAGATGGTGCACACTGCACCCTTTAGGTGTGAATATACCCATCCCCTCATCCCCTCTCACCTGCTCTACATTTGATGAATGTTACTGCAATATATAACACTGCAACACATAAGTGTTGATCAGTTAATACCAATTTGATGGTGAATACATATGGTGCTTGTTTTTCCATTCTTGTGATACTTCACTTAGTAGAATGGGCTCCAGCTCAATTCAGGATAACACAAGAGGTGCTAGATCACCATCGTTTTTTGTGGCTGAGTAGAACTCCATGGTATACATATATCACATTTTATTAATCCACTCATGTATTGATGGGCACTAGGGTTGTTTCCACATCTTTGCAATTGTGAATTGTGCTGCTATAAATATTCTAGTGTGGATGTCTTTTTTATACAATGTCTTTTTATCCTTGAGGGATTGCCCTGTAATGGGATTGCTGGATCAAATGGTAGTTATACTTATAGCTCTTTGAAGTATCTCCACATTACTTTCTACAGA